GCCCGGAGGGCAAAGGGCTGAACCGGTACACTGCAGAAATTATACAGTAAGTGGACCCATGATATGGGATGTAAAGCATCTTCTGAAAACTTTATAAAGGGGGACACTCAGCTGTTTGGCAGTTTAGCTAATAGAGACTGAATCCACTTTAGAATGAGGTTAACTAAGGAATCTCAACTCTAGACATAAAGGGAACACAGATCTGTAATCTCCTGGCTTTTTAAGGGTGAAGGGGAGGATTCTGGCACCAATGTGGTGGGAAATGGGCAGATCCAAGGTGACAGCAGAGCAGACACTCCCCAGACACACAGGGGTCCCCGGGCTTGCTGGTGACCCCTTTTCCCCTCCAGCGGCTGAGGGAGCTGGTCCCGTGTCCCTCATCACAGAGGCGACACTGAGGCCCAGGACCATGCGTTAGTCAGCAGTGAGGCCAGGTCACTCGCTGGCGGCTTTCCCTGAGGCCCATCCCCCCTGCCATGTACCCCAGGCCCCCACAGGTGCCACACCTTGAGTCCCGGGACCAGCCCTTCCTCGTGCTGACTGGGGTGCCCAGGAAGCCTCTGCCTTTCCCCGGCAGCGATGCTGAAGGTGGCAGCCCACCGACCCACCTGCCCGCCCAGGCCCGGTCGCCTGATGTGTGCCTTCCCTTGCCAGGTGACACCATCTGGGCCCCATCTGTCCTCCCTCACGGCACCCTCGGCACCTTGAGCCACCACCCCCAGCTACATTTTGGAAGAAAGATGGAGTCCAAGGTCTCAGAAGGTGGCCTGAACGTGACGCTGACCATCCGCCTGCTGATGCACGGAAAGGTACAGGGGCGGGAGAGGGGAGGGGAGGCACGCCCACCGCGGGGGTCTTCGTTTCATATGAGGCTTTTTAAATTCTAAGCTATCTCCGACTTACAAAGCAGCCGCAGCACCGTCCAAATGACGTTTCTCCCAGAACCTTTCGAGGCTGAGCTGCCCGCCTGCTGCCCCATCCCCTGTGCCCTAGTGTGTATTTTCTACACGTGAGGGCATTCTCCTTCAGGACACTAACACTGATGCAGACGTGCCGGCCAGGTGGCTACGGCCCCACTCGAGTGCACCGGTCATCCCAGGGCTGCCCTTCAGACAGGTGCTCCCCACGCTTCCCTTGCTTTTGCTTTGAAAGCAAAGTTCCCACCCAGTTCTTTTGTAGAAAGAATGTCCCTCACTTTGGCTTTTTCTGACGTTTCCTCACCGTTGGCAGGAGTGTCACAGAAGCTTTCCTATCAGGTAGTCCAGATTTCAGGGTGTCACTTGGTGGGGGGCACCTGCTCGGCATCTCCCCAACTGCTCTTCCACAGTCATCAGGGCGTCTTTGCTGGCAGGTACTTAGGTGCTGCGTGAACATCCTGTGTGCCACCCTTGCTTCATTCATGGCTTCCTGGATGCAGGGTTTGCTGTTTTGCTCGCATCACCCCCCATGCTGTCCCCGCACTGTCCCCACGCTGTCCCCGCGCTGTCCCCACACTGCCCCTGCGCTGTCCCCGTGCTGTCCCCACACTGTCCCCACGCTGTCCCCACGCTGTCCCCGCGCTGTCCCCGCGCTGTCCCCGCACTGTCATTATTAATTTTGATGCTCACGTTGTCCCTGACTTGGCGTGGTCGCCCCACCAAGCTGGCGTGTGTCCTTCTGGGGGGACCCACCGTTCTGACTGCACATCCTCTCTGCACACCGCTGTTGCTCATCCTTACTTTCCTGCTGGTCCTGGAATCAGCCGTTTCTGTAGAGAACCCAACTCTCTTGAGTGGAGGATGGTGGGATGGTGTTAGAGCCCAGAGGTGGGCACATGGGGTACTCACGGCTTTTGGGCTACTGTAGGCCCCAGACAGAGCTAGGGAATATGTATTTGTGTGTGCGCGCACGCGTGCGCTTGTGTGTGTGGGCGTGGGTGTGTGTAGAATCATACACACCTATGTCTGCGGACATTTGCATACTTATCTCTAAATTGGGCTCCCTGAGTTCACACCCCCTATTCCAGTCCAATAGCACAGGGTTCATCCTGGCTCCTCTGTCTGGTGTTTGTACCATGAGAAACCCAGGGGACGGTAGAGGCTGGCATAGTGCCTGGGGCACTGCTCTCCCTAGATTTCCGGAAGCTGGTGCTCACACCTAGAGCCTCCCTTTCCGTGATGGAGGAATGCTGACCGCCTTTCCCGCTCCCAGGGTGGGTGGCATTTGGTCAAGGTTGTCCGGAGCTGGGTGTGTACCGTGGGGGACAGTCTGAGGTCAGATGCATGGCCCCACCTCCAGCAGCTGCTGCCACAGCAAGTACCAAACCCTGCCCCTGGGAGGTGAGGCGCCCTGACTGCCAGAGGGGCCACCACCCCGTGCCCAGCTGCCCTTTGCTGCCACAGCCCCTGCTGCACATGCGCCCTCCTGGCCTCGCAAAACTGAGGCATTTCCCCGGGACACTGTGAGCGCTGAGGGCTTCACTGTAATAAGGAAGATGAGTTTGATTGTGGAAGCTGCTCTCTGCAGCTAGAAGCAGTCTGGCCACGCCTCCCTGAGGCGCCATGGCAGAGCCTTGTGGGTCTGTCCCAGGCAGGCAGGTGCTGCGACGGGCAATCCTGGCCGGGAGCGCATCTGAACCATTGCGGGCCCCAGGCTTTAGAACCATGGCGGTGTGCTCAAGAGTCTTTCAATGTTCTACCTTTTTTAAAAAAAGTCAAATAGCAATAGCAGCGCTAAATTTTTATACATCACAAAATCACTGGGGGAGATTTTATCTTTCATCCATTTCTTGCAGGGTTTCCTTGAGGCCTTAAGTGCACAGGTGATACCCGTTGACATGTTTATCTGGAAAGCTGGCCATTCTCTTTGTCTGTCTGTCGGTCAGAGGCAGGGCAGCCTGCCTGCCCGCTCCCTCCTGACCGTCCAGTCTCCCTCCCTCACTCATGACTCGGAAGCTGGACAGCCTCGCTGCGTCCTGTCGCAGGATTTATGCTCCTTCTGCTCTATGACATCATCTTTCTGTGATTCTTTTCCTACAGGAAGTTGGCAGCATCATCGGGAAGGTAATTATTATTTTTATTTTTATTTTTTTGGCTGCCTCGGGTCTTCGTAGCTACGCGCGGGCTTCCTCTAGTTGCGGTGAGCGGTGGCTTCTCATGTTGCAGGGCATGGGCTCTAGGCGTGCAGGCTTCAGTAGTTGCGGCACGTGGGCTCAGTAGTTGTGGCTCGCAGGCTCTAGAGCTCAGGCTCAGTAGCTGTGGCGCACGGGCTTAGTTGCTCCGTGGCATGTGGGATCTTCCCGGACCAGGCCTCGAACCATTGCCCCTGCATTGGCAGGCGGATTCTTAACCACTGCGCCACCAGGGGAGTCCCAGGAAGGTAATTATAGAGTGAACTCTGCCTCTACCGGGGTATCTCAGAGGCACAGTGAGGTTTGGAGTAGCCCTGTGCAGGGGGTGAGCCACGCACGGTGCGTGCCAGGCGAGCAGTGGGGATCCCGCTGGAATCCTGCCCCGTCGCCTTCAGGCTGCACCCCCATGAGGCTGGTCGCAGAGCTTCCCGTTCTCCAGCCCTGTGGGAGCTGGGGAGTCATCCCCCGAGGCAGCCCCACCGCCCACCTGCCCTGGTGGCCAGTCCTTCCTCCCGGGTTTGAGAGCTCAGGACCAATTCCCACGTGCATTCCTGGGAGCAGTCTCCCACCTCCGGCCTGAGTGGTGGTGAGTCCATTCTCAAAGGAACGTTCCCCTGGGGAAAGTGAGCGCTGGTTTGGAAGCTGGGTGCGCGTAGGAGAGAGGTGGGCCAGGACCCCACACCCCCATTCCTTGCGACCTTCTCTGGCTTCGCTGGTCCCTCGTGGTCCCTGAATGGTGGGGGAGCCCCCGGAGCTCAGAGTCAGGCTTCTTTTCACAAGTTCCTTGTGGGATCACCCGAGGGCCTGGTCCCCACTTTGCCAGCGGTGAGGCTGGGGACGGGTGCAAACCCACCCCGTGGAGCAGGTGCCCAGGCCAAGCGTGGATCCGCATCGGGTCCCTGGGGCCAGGTCTGCGCAGCCCACAGCCTGTGCCCTGGGCGAGGTGGCGGGCCGGCCGGGGAGTCACGCATGTCAGGCCCGGAGCCCACCTTCAAGGGCTGGGGCGCCCAGCCTCCCGTGCCTGTGGCGGAAGCCCGAGTGACCCCTCCCTTGTCTGAACCTCTGTTCCAGAAAGGAGAGACTGTGAAAAAGATGCGTGAAGAGGTGAGTTGGCGCCCTGAGCCGCGTGCTGCTTCTGGGAGGGCGGGAGGGAGGAGGCCAGGGCCTCCTAGCAGCTCTGCGCCCAGCCCCATGCGGCCGGGACCCGCCGGGAGCCCCGCGTGGCAGCGATGTGAACGACGGGTGGCCATGCGGAGCCCTGACGTGCACACCAGCAGTTCAGGTGCCCTCCCGGTCACGACTGGGTCACAGCCAGCACAGTAGGACAGGACCGGCCATCGGTGCTGAGGCTCGGGTGCCACCAGCCTGCAGGAGTCCGCAGTGGTCAGTAGGCCCTAGGATCCAGCCCACTGCCGGCCCCAAGGCTTTAATCCAGTTTCTGGGGTCTGCGTATCTCCCTCCCAGAGCGGGGCAAGGATCAACATCTCGGAAGGAAACTGCCCAGAAAGAATCGTGACCATCACAGGCCCGACAGACGCCATCTTCAAGGCCTTTGCCATGATCGCCTACAAGTTTGAGGAGGTAAGGGGCACCCCTGGGGAGCCCTGTCCCGGAAGAGGGGACCTCTCAGCCCCTCTGCCTCCTCTGCCTCCCCGGAGACTGCCCCCTCCGGTCCACCTGGTGACCGGCCAGGGTCCCTCCTCCCCCAAGGCCCCCCTCCCTCACTGAGCGGTCCCTTGGGGCCTGCCCCCAGACCACGAGCCCTCAGGGAAGGCCTGGCACCGGCAGTGAGGCGGCCACGTCCAGGCCTCAGCCCTGACCACGGCAGCTGACCCCCAGTGTGTTTAGCTTGGCTCAGATGTGGACGGGCAAAGGGAGACCCAGGCCCAGGAAATCTACGCGCATTTATGTGTCTGTGCGCTTTTGTGTACGTCTGTCAGTGAGCTCAACCTTAAGCTTTTTATGTGTTTCGGATATTTTTGAAATTGCTGCAAGTTATCTGGAGATGTGTTTGGTGTCTTTACTGGAAGGGTGATCAAGCTGGGGAGTAGGTCCTTCTGTCAAATGGATCTCCCTCTGTCCAAGCCCCTCTCTGCCCGCCAGGCCTTAGGGACAGAGGTCGGACCCTGAGTCCAGGCACCCTGGGGGTCTGCGCCCCACCCTGTGGCAGCAGCGCGACTGCCCAGACGTGCACGCCTGGGGGTCCCCTTGTGTTCTCCAGCCGCCCCTCCTCGTGCCCTGAGCCTGGCCCGGCCTCGCAGCCCCTGTGACCAGCCCAGCCCGGCCACCATGTCCTCCCGCTGTTCACCCTCAGCCGTTTGCCATCGTGCTTCTGCCTCCCCCTCGTCCTCGTCTCCCCCACCCCTGACAGGGAGCCTGCTAGGCTCTCGCAGCCGACGCACGTGCTTCCCCCTCCCCAGGACATCATCAACTGCATGAGCAACAGCCCGGCCACCAGCAAGCCCCCGGTGACGCTGAGGTTGGTGGTCCCCGCCAGCCAGTGCGGGTCCCTGATCGGCAAAGGCGGCTCCAAGATCAAGGAGATCAGGGAGGTAACGAGCCCTCCCCACCCGGGAGCCGAGCGCCGGGTGGTCAGGATGTCCCTGGGGCAGAGCAGTAGCCGGGTCCCTGCAGACCCTGCAGCACAGAGCTTGCGGCAGGGGAGGGACGAGCCACAAGGCAGAGCGACCGTGGGAGCCCCCGCTGTGGGCGTCACGCAGAGGAGCCCAGGCCTGACTCCCGGGACGCGGCCGTGGCACCCCTCCACCCAGTCCTGGGCTCCAGGGCACGGGCTCTGCCCCCCCGGGAGGCCCCTGCGCCCACTGCCAGGCCCCGTTTCCTGAGAGTCGCTGAGCCGTCCCAGCTGGGGTGGGGCTTGCCTGAGGGGTCCACCTTACCTTCACAAGTTCCTCTCCCGAGGAAAGCCCAAGGCCTTCCCTTCCCCAAAGGATGGCAGCCCCCAGGCTTGATTCCTTCCAGGAAAGACGGCCACACGCTTTAGGCCCCGTGACTGGGATCCATCTTTCTCTGTGACCTCAAACTCCACAGAGAGAGAGAATTCCACATATTTGAAAAAAACTCTGCCTCCTGAGATGCCGCTCCTGCACCCAGCGTTGCCTGCCCTGCTCCAGGTCTGCGGTGCCCTGGCAGCGGGCTCCAGACGGAGCGTGCGGAGGGCGTGGGGGGGTGACCTGGGGCAGAGTCGGGGGGGGCTGTCCCAAGGCGTGCTGTGCCCTCGACGCCCCCGGGGGCACCCAGGAAGTGCTGCTGCAGTGCACACTGCCCCGCTCGGTGGGGCCCCTTCCAACATCTGGTCTCTCCAGTCCACAGGTGCCCAGGTCCAGGTGGCCGGGGACATGCTGCCCAACTCCACGGAGCGGGCAGTGACCATCTCGGGGACCCCCGATGCCATCATCCAGTGTGTCAAGCAAATCTGTGTGGTCATGCTGGAGGTACAGTCTGTCCACAAGTCCAGGGCTCCTCGCCAGCCTGCCCCTCACTCCGTGCCGGCCGGGGCTTCTGAGCGTCGGAGGCCTCGGGGCCCTGAGGCTTCATGTGGTCAGGGCCGCGTGAGGGCGGGCCTCAGGGACGCCCTGAGTGAGAGCTGTGCTGGAGTGCGGGCTCCATGGGAGGGCAGCCGCTGGCTCCTGCCACCTCGGGTGGGTCGGTCGTCTTCACTGGGGACCTGGGGAGCAAACGGAGAACGTGGGGAGCGTAAGCCCCTCCCCCTATTTCTGGAGTTGGATAAAGAGTTAGCAGTCTGTGGTGTGAGGGGCGTTCAGCAGAGGGTCAGTCCTTAAAAGTGGTGCAGGTGTGCCCTGGGGCCAGGTCCGGGCTGGAGATGCAGATGGAGTGAAGAGGCCCATGCCATGGATAGGACCCCACTGCGTGGGCCCAGCCTGCGGGCATCAGAGACGCCGCCGAGGTACAATGGACAGGACTTAGGAAAAGCACACGAAAACGCCCCAACTGTGAAGACAAAAAGAAGTAAACAAAACGATTAACCAAAGGAGAAGCAAGGAAGGCACAGCTGAGCAGGAAAAACCTCTCTTGAAAATCTGAGGGAAAAAAACCCAAGAATTAAGTTTCAATCAATACCCAAACTGCTGAAAGATTAATTGAAGCTATCAATAATAGCTGCTGGTCTTTCTTAAGCTAAAATGAAGTCATCGTGCCTCAAACGAAAGGTTTCAATACCTGTGCTGGTGGCCCGGCCCCTGGGCCCTCCTCCGCCCATGCCCGAAGCCCTTGACGGAGGGTCTGCCTGAGGTGACAGCAGTCTCCCCCAGGAATTAGCCTCGGGGCGGGGCAGCGGTGGGTTCTCCCTCTTTTGTACTTGACTTGGTGTTAAAGCACCATGACCACCTCCTTAGAAAAAAATTTGTATCGCTTTTATTTTCCTGAAGTATGATGTTGGGAAATCAAAAATATTTTTCTAGATATTTTGTTCTGAAGCTTTCCCCACACGCTGGTCACAGTGAGGATCTGTGTTCTCTTCAGTCCCGGCACTGGGACCGCGAGGGGCCGTGAGGGTGGGTAGCAAGCATGGCCTGGCACCCCTAGTGTGGCAGATGCCCAAGCGGCCTGGTGGGCGGCGGCGCCCAGGCGAGGCGGGGTGACGTGAACCGCTCCAGGCGGGACGCCGCCTCTGATGTCCCCGACGAGGTCAGAACAGGACATGTGGGCTCCTCGGGACCCCTGCCACGTGGCCTTGCTTGTGCCACGTTTGTGGTCAGACGTGACCCCACAGGAGAGCTTGACCCCGTTGGCTGTGGGGCGCTGGTGCCCCCAGGGCTGTGAAACAGTGAACGCTGAAGCACACGGCAGGCGTGATCGGTCCTCGAGGGACGGGGACGAGGCCTCCTGCCGTTGGTGTCACGAAGTCCCCGGAGGCCGGAGCAGCCACTTATGGGGGAGGAAGCGTCACCGCAGCTAGGAGACCCTGGTCCAAAGTTAAATGAAGATTGACTGGAGTTTCGGCCTCTGGGGTGGGGGGCTCCGCCCAAGAAATCACTACCGAAGGAGGGAGAAGCTGCTCGAGGAGTGGCGGGTCGGTGAACGCGAGGGTCGGGGCTGCAGCCCTGGGTGGGGGACGTGTGCTCAGAAGGCCTCCCTCCACCAGAGGTCAGCTCGAAAGGAACTGGGCATCATGGCCATCAGGGCCAGCAGAGGGCGGGCGCTGCCCTCGGCGGGGTCGGAGTACACCATGGAGCAAGGTGACAGTCGAGGCTGAGAAGTCGGGAGCCCACCCCCCAGCTCAGGGATGGAGTGGGGGCAGCAGCTGGACCGAGTCCTCCTTTCGCAGCGGAAACGGTCACTCAGGGTAGTCACGCTTCCTGCCCGGTGACCCCTAATCGCCCTGAGACCACAGAGAACCCTGCTGCAGAGGCTCCTGGACACGACCTCAGACGAGCCGGAGACGGGAGGACGGGAGCCCAGCGTCACCCACACGCGGTCAGCACACGGGCCCTCGAAGCAGCCCCTTGTGCTCTCCACAAGGTCACGCAGCAGGCCAAGGTCACACAACGTGTCAAGGTCACGCAGAACATCCAAGGTCACACAGCAGGCCAAGGTCACATGGTGTGCTCCAGGTCACAGAGCAGGCCAAGGTCACACTGTGTTCAAGGTCACACAGCACACATCCAAGGTCACACAGGGTGTTCAAGGGCACGCCGCATGGACAAGTTCGCATGATGTGGCCTGGGCTGCAGAGTTGAAGCTGCCAACCCCTCTGCTGTCCCCACCTCCCTGTGTGTGTCTTGGGTTGGGTCACACTGAGGTCACACCACCTGGTGGCTGGGCCTGGGTGGGCAATGGCCTCAGGAAGTCCCAGCAAAGACAGGCTGCCCTGGTCCCTGAGCTCTGTCTCTGGCTGGTGGTGCTGCTGACTCAGGACTCCCGACAACAGCCCGGGCCCAGCCCTGTAGACTTTGCTCCCAGGGAAGACGGTCACCCAGGCAAGGGGACAGGGGAGGGCCTGATGGCTTCTGACCACGGGGTCTGGTTGACATCATCAGAATCTGGCTGACTTCTGGTGCTTGAGAATATCGTTCACCCCAAGATATGAATCCTACACTTTTGGACACAGAATAATGAAAGGAAATTGTAGCAAATTGCATCACAACTGTGGACTATTTCATTTGGACTCTAAGGTGCATTAAGTGATGGCTCTTTTTTTAAACAGTGAAGTTGGATGTTTCTAACTTTCCTGTGATGATGCCAACTGAATGTCAGCCCAGGCCACGCGAAGCCCCGGCACTGGCGCCGAGTCCCCGGGGGCTCTTTCCCGAGGACTGAAGGAGGGGGCACGCCCCTCTCAGAATGCAGCGCCTGTGCTGGCGCCTGGGGAGGGTCGCGTGTGCGGGCGGGGGCGCGTCCGCCCGCCTCACCCGTCACCCGCCGCCTCCTGCTGCGGCTGTGTGTAGGGCGGTGGTCCCTGGAGGACCTGGGGGCTGGGGAGGGCGGGGGCGCGGCGGGGGGGTCGGAAGGAGGCCTCACGACTGCCCGGCTGCGAAGCTGCTCTGACGCTCTCTCTCCCTCTCCTGTCCCTTTTCCTAGTCCCCACCGAAAGGTGCCACCATTCCCTACCGCCCAAAGCCCGCCTCCACCCCTGTCATTTTTGCAGGTGGTCAGGTAAGAGCCGACCCGCTCTCGGCCTCCACTGCCAACCTCAGCCTTTTACTGCAGCCCCCGCCGCTGCCCGTTAGTGCACTCAGGTTTTCTCCCTTCTCACGTGCACGTGTCCCCCGCGCACGCTGGACGCAGAGCTCTCCTGACACGCAGCCGGCCCTGGGGTGGACGTGGGCCACCATGAGAGAGACCCACCGGGCAGCGTCCACAGATAGAAAGGGCCGAGGCGGACGCCCTGTGGCGTCTGGGCCCAGGAGGACCCTGGTCCGGGCTCAGGCCTGCTCAGCCGGGCAGCACCGCCCGAGTCTAGCTTCCTGGTGTTTTTAGGAAGCTCGGAGGCAGGAAGGGCTGGGAGCATTACCAGGGCTTTTATGACTCCTGTTTGAGGCAACTACGACTGTGAGAACTGGCCCCATCTCCCCTGAAATACACGTTCCCAACTTCCCACACATGAGTTCCCCCTAGGAGCACGTGAGGGACGAGACAAGGATGAAGGGGAGGCCAGCTGGGCGTCCCGTTACAGGGACGACCCTCTCTCTCCACCCTGCCCCACGCTGGCCGCAGGCCCAGCAGGCCGGCCATGGCCACTTCACACACCTGCTGTTTTGGTGGGAGCCCCTGAGCTTTCTCTCCCGCCAGGGAGGGCCTGGAAACCAGGGGTCACGGAGATTTCTGTCTGAGGCCAGTGGTTGGCTTAGCGGGACCTGGAGGGGCCGACAGGGGGGCTGTGCCCTGTCTTCTGCCCTTGGGCACCAGGCTCAGAGGCATCCGCCAGGAGCTCGCTTTGTCCCTTCACAGCAGGGTCACGGCAGCCGCAGTCAAGGGACTTTGCAAAGGCCAGGCCAGTGTGCCAGGAGAAGCTCTGCGTCCAGGTGGCAGTGCTGTGTGCCTTGTTCAAGGGAGAGTTAAGACAGAGACTTCCCAGATGACCCAGGATGGGAGGGCCGTGAAGGAAAAGAGGCAAATACAAACTCTCCACGTTTTTCTCTGCTCTGTAAAAGAACCTTGTCCGGTTTCTCTCCCGCTGAGCCCTGCGAGGTGAGGGCAGGGTCTGAGCTCCTGCAGCAGCGTTTGTGGTGAATCCCTGGGGGGAGGGGGCAGCGGTCCCTGTGGTTCAGGGCAGCCGCAGATGGCCCACCGCGTTCAGAGCTCCTTTCCTGCCGTGCATCCGTGATCAGCGGCAGGTTAGTTACCTGCGCGGCCTCAGCCCCAACATGCAAGCAAGCCCGCGATGATTCCACATGGAGAAGCGCAGGCTTTATTCAGAGGGGAGGCATGTTAACATGAGCCAGAGCCTGGCAGCCTCCCGGGCCCAGCCCAGCCCCGCCCCGGCCAGCAAAGCAGGGCATCACCCACCCCCCAGTCAGGACAGTGAGGCCACTGCCACCGTGGGCTTCGCAGGGACTCAGCACCTTAACCCAGCGCCTGCGCCCTGGGGACAGGTAGTGTGGCCAGCGACTGACTAGTGTTGGTCGTCGGTGGGGGACAGAGTCACAGGAGGGTCACCGCGGCGCTGCAGGTAGCGGGCAGAGGGGTCACGGGGCAGAGGGCCCCGGGCCCTCCCCGCCCGCCTGCAGGACGCGCTGCACACCCAGGCTTCAGAGCCTCCCGCCTTGCCCTGTCCCTGTGAAGATGCCCGCACGTCCCCGCTGCCGAGAGGCACTTCCTGCCATCCCAGCAGTTTCGGTCCGTAAAGATTTCATCCAGACGGAACCTGTGACCTGTCGTCTGTCTGTACCTCTGCCCTGAAATGATGGTAGGCAGCCCGAGCACTTTCAGTAAAACTAGAAACCGTAACACCTGAGTGATGAAAAGATAAGTCAGAAACTGAAAGTGTCTGGGATAAAGAGCTGCCAGTCGGGGAGCACATGGGCGGCACTGTCCCAGGGCCTGTCACACTCGGGGACACGTTGGCACAGTGCCTGGCAGCATCCCACGGCCCCGAGCACGCGCAGCCTTCCCGATGCATGCTGTTTCTGGTCAGGTTCCTTTCCTTCCCCACGAGGTGCCCGGGCCTCCCCCAGACGGGGGCTCTGCGCCTGCCCCACCTGCAGGCCTAGCGTGGCTGGTGCCGCACGTTCCACGTCACCGAGTCCCAGTGGCAAGTCTTTGTCTTTACTCTCCCTCGACTCTGTGTGGTTTGTTTGTTTTTTGGCTGTGAGTTTCTGGAAGCATCTTGGCTGAGGGACTGTTGAGGCAGGCGGGGCGGGCGGTGGGAGAGGCTTCAGGGCCCACACATGTGCTGCGGCTACTCCGAGTCACTGTCTTGAAGGCAAGTGACACGGTAAAGGGAAAACAAGCCCCCTCTGGGAGCTGTGCCACCAAGAGCATGCTGCCCCCAAGTCACAACGGCTGTCCGGTCCTCTGAGGCTGGAAGACGATCAGCCAACCTGTGGCTGATTTGGGTGCATTTCTTACTTAATCTGGCGTTCGCAAAATTGGTTTTGAGTCAACTTTTAAAGTTTTCTGTTTTGTTGTTTGGGTTTCTTGGAGTAAATATGTCCTGAAAGTGTTTACTCTGATAGCCGATTAAATTCTCAAAGGGTTAATAATCAGTGACTCATAGCAAGAGTCAAGCGGCTGTTCTAAGATACTGTCAGCTGAGGGGCAAGGGAGTGAGAGTCGGAAGCCGGCTGCCTGGCCCTTCCCCTCCCCCCCGCCTCGCCCCATCGTGTGTCTGGTTGTAGCTCCAACCACCGAGGGACCCTGGGGGAGGCTCAATGCCAGGACCCTGCCCCCAATCTCTGCACCCCGGGCCCTGGGAGGGTCGCCTCTCCTATGTGAAGGGGGAAGGCCTTAACCAGAGGGCCCGGGGCCTGCTTGCAGGAAAGCCCTCCCCGAGGAGGGCCCTCGTCCCGCAGGGGAGGCCGCGGTGGGGGACCCATGGCTGCCGCTTCTCGAGCTGACGGTGTCTCTCTCTCTCTAGGCCTACACGATCCAGGGACAGTACGCCATCCCCCACCCAGATGTGAGTTTTTACTCTGTCCCTTCACCTCTCTTCTCGTCCCCACTTCCCCCCTACCTGCATGCTGCTGCCAATCGCTCCTAATATATTAACACTGTTCTCAGTGCTCCTGGCCTGTGTCATATCCATATGGGCCTGATAACCTTTCATCTCTTAGCACTAATGCTGCTCCTGTGGAGGACTTGGCCTGGCGTCCAATTGTTTTGATTATGGCTGCAGTCCCGGCTATTCCTGCGCACATGGGGCCTCGGGCCGGGGCCACCGGGCTGCTCTGTCCCCGGCGCCTGCCCTGGTCGGCGGGGGACGGCTTGGGCCCCGTGGGCACCTGAGCAGGCAGGTAATGTGCCATCAGCAGGTCTGCCGGGATACCTTGGATGGGCGTTTGAACAACTGGTGAGGCTACATGCTCCCTTTCAGGCCCCGGTCGGAGCAGGGTCCATGCATGCACGAGATCCAGGCCGTTGGGAGCCCGTGCGGCAGGCAGGGCTCTGTTCTAGCGTTAGACTGGGTTCCAGTCTGAGCGCAGTGCTGCTGCTGGAGGACTGGATGCCCCGAGCACACTGCAGGGGAGCCGCAGGCCACAGGGCTGTAGATAGGCTGGGCCGCGAGGTCTGCGCTGCTGGCCTGGGCAGTGGGGTGCGGGGAAGAGAGGGAAGAGGTGGGTGGGTTTGTGTGCCACGGCCACAGGCACGGCAAGCTGAGGTCCGACCCAAGAAGTGTCCTCTGTCCTGGGAAGGCGGGTCCACGTGCGCTGCTCTCGGAGAGCCAGTGGGGGGCGGGCTCTGTCCAGGCAGAGGGACCGCAGGTGACAGCAATGCCCGCCCATCTTGTGCAGACGCTCGCATTTTTGAACTGGCAGGTGAAGAGCCGGCCACCTTAAGACGTAAAGTCAGGGCAGGGAGAGTTATAAGAATTCACTGACACTGAGTACATGTGTGTATTGGAAGTACAGAGATTCAGTTCACTATCGTTGCAGGACATATTTATTGAATAGAAAAGAAAAACCAACAGCTTTTCCTTTTTAAAAAAATCCTCGTTACGCAACACACGTGAATCAAAAGTCAGAGAAAGCTGATGGAGACGGGGCTGGGGGCCGTCCTGAGCCACATGGGGGATGCCTGCCCTCCCCATCCCAGACGACAGTTGGCTGTGACCCAGGGGACGGCAGGTGCTGGAACCCAGGGAGGGAGCCCGTCACCCATGTGGAGTGAGCAAAGCATAGCACTGGTGGGGTCGGGACGGGCACCGTGGCATGTGGGTTCCGTGGACCCCAATAGAGCGCCCGCATGGGGTGACAGAGATCAGAGGAGAAGCCAATTTACAGGGTGGCCCAGCCTTCACTCCCCATGGCTGGTGGTCTTGTGCCTTTGGAAAAGCATCTGTGCAAAAGCAGACTCAGAACTCAGCACACTTGGTGGTCTGGGCCATTAGGGGCAGTTTACCCCAGAGCAGGTCTGAGGGGAGGTTCAGACCCACAGCCCATGGCAGACCTGTGCTTCCCTGCTGCCCGAGGCCTCCGCGCTCCAGGCCTGAATTCCTGGTCTGGGTTCCCTAGGCCAGGGCACACGTACCTAGCGAGGCCGGGGGACTTGGCTGGTTTTCAAATCAATTGGTTGTTTGCTCTTTCCGTGTGATTGTCTCAGTATCTCTGAAAAATGGGTAGTTTTGAATTCTTTTCGGATTTTAAACTAATTTATAGCTAGCTATTACATGGTTGCCTCATTGAGTTTGATAGAGATTTGAAACACTTGGTTTTTTATCGTGAAAGGGCTTTTGTGCAGGACCCTGCATTCCCCAGACCGCACGTGTGAAGGAGCAGCTGTTAGGACAGAAGAGCAGGACTTTGATAAATGCTTCTCTTGCAGGAATGGAAAGTTGAAGGCTTGGACCATCACTAAGAATCGTTCAAAACAAAATAAAGTGGTGACGAGTGACCATGGCCAGGAAGGCAGTTTTATCTGAGCTTAATATTCAGTAGGAATTTTTTTAAAGCTTCATTTCTCAGAATGCAAATATAATAATTACAGGAAGTATTAATTTATTTTATAAGGTAACTGAATACACCATTTGAGTACATCAACCCCAGTGGCTGACACACACCCCACTGTCATCACAGCAGCTAATCCTTCCTAAATCAGGCACAGACTTTGAGAAAATGCATTTCTTAGAGCTGAGCATTTCTTCATCTAGAGCTAAAATGTGCGCAGTTTTTCCTGCTTTCTGGTTTAACCTACGTAGGAATCAGGGCCCCACCCTCACCAGTCTCCCTCCAGGTTCTCACCTACCTCGGCCCTTGTTTTACCGGAATCCTTCTGGAAGCTCATAGCTCTCGGGCATTCGGAGAAGCCAAGGACTGCTGGATGACTGGGCCTGTCGCAGCTGCAGGACTTGGTCACGGCTGGTGGCCAGAATGCTCCAGGACGGCCACCCACGTGTCCTGCCCGAGGGGTTGGGTGTGGTTTCAGACACGAGGAAGGACCATGGTGGCCACAACTCAGGACGCAGGAGCAGATGCGAAGCCTGGACAGACGCAGCATGGCCACCACCGCTCTCTCCCACCTCTGCTCTTTCTGTCCCTGTACTGATTACACCAGGAAGAAATTGGTTTCTTCTGGGAGAAATCAGTCAATGTCAGGCACGCCCTCACGTGTGAATCTTATTTCTACTCTTCAAAGTTTCCAAGTCACTCCCTTACTTAGCATCCCCTCATTAAAGGAGTGCTGGAAGCGAGCAGAATCGAGACCAGAAGCCATCTGGGCCGGTGGCCTCCCTTGGAGCCTGGGCTGGTGAGGACATGGGCTTTCGAGGGGCCCTCGCCAGAGCTGGGGGCCAGGAGCAGCGGAGCTGTCGGTCCCCGCAACGCTGGGTCCCAGCAGAGGGTGTTGAGTATCTGGGGGTAGACGGGCGCCGTGTTAGCCGGGAAGCTCGTCACTTAGAGAGTTAGCAGTGGGGAAACTGGGAACGAGTGAGTCATAGTAAGTAGAAGAAACCAGTGGGAGCGCACAGCTAGATCCCGTGCGGACGGTGGTCCCTGGGGCTCTGCTCACAGTGGACACAGCCGGGGATGGAGTGCCTTCCCCGCCCACCTCCTTGGTGTCCCCCTCCGGGAGCCCGCAGGGAGGTGCCATTGAGGCTGCTCCTAGCATCTTCTAGTGAGAGCCCTGCACGGCCACCCCGCTGACGCCCGCATCTCTGGCTCTTTGTTCTTCCAAGATCGGAGGATCTTCAATCCTCTCCTTTCGCAGCTCGGAGTGGCGGGGAGGCAGCCCGGCCCCACCTGCCGCAGAGCAGGAAACAGGGACAGGTTAACTCTTGCCCCCGCCCCTCTCCCCGGGGTTGCACACCCTCTCCTCCAAGCTGAGCTCTTCAGTGGCATGGCCCTCAGCCCGCCCCTCCCAGAATCAGAATCTGCATTTTTCACAAGACCCTGGGTAACTTGTTTGCACGGAAAGTCTGAGAAACACCGATAAGGAGGACTGAGAAGGAAGAACACAGATCCAGTTGAAGTCCCAGGGTTGGTGGATAGGATGGAGGGAGGGAAGCTTCTGAGAGATGAGCACAGAGAACTTCTCAGAATCGATAAAGAAAAAAATGCTCACATTCAGGAATCCCAACAAATCCCCAACCAGATCAACCAAAAATCCATTTTAGACGTGTCCAAGTGACACCAAAGACCAAAAGTGAATCTTCCAAGAGGAGAGAGAGAAGGAATATTATAAAGGAGCAATTGTGGTGGCAAAATAAAACAACTGTCAACCTAAAATTCAACCTCCATAGGATCTCCCAAGTTACAGATGTTTTCAGACAAACAGCTGTGACCTTCTAAGGGACGCTGGTCAGTAGAAGGAGAATGATCCCAGAAGGAAGGCTATAAATGCAAGAAAGAATGGTGAGCAAAAAAAAATTACCATTTCTGGGGGCTTCCCTGGTGGCGCAGTGGTTGGGAGTCCGCCTGCCGATGCAGGGGACGTGGGTTCGTGCCCCGGTCCGGGAGGATCCCGCATGCCGCGGAGCGGCTGGGCCCGTGGGCCGTGGCCGCTGGGCCTGCGCGTCCGGAGCCTGTGCTCCGCAACGAGAGAGGCCACAGCGGTGAGAGGCCCGCGTATCGCCAAAAAAAAAAACAAAAACAAAAAAACAACAAAAAAAAAATTACCATTTCTTTCCTTAACATAAGCACAAATCATAAAGAAAACATTGATATTTTTGACTACATTAAAATTTAAACATTTGGGTCAATGAAAACAAACTTTGTAAAATCAAAATCAATGCTATCTAATTGCTGGGATTAACATAGCAGAACTGAATGGGCACCGACAGCATACGTAAGATTAGGATGTGGCTGAGGGGATTAAAACATCCTGTAGGTCATTGTATCATTCAGGAGGAAGGCAAAGATATTGAATTAAGACTAAACGTATGTGTTAAAATTTCAAAGTGGTGACTATCAGAAACACGTTCACTTTCATAGCTTCCATAAAGGTACGGAGGGGAAAGCGGGTGACACGAAAAGATTAATCAGTACAAAAGAAAGGGAATGAAAAAAGGAAAGAAACCTTTGAAGATCAGGACAATTAAAATAAGATGACAGAAATTAGCCTACATCTGTGGGTATTTGTGATCAAAGCAGGAGAAACTTCCCAGTTGAAAAACAAAGGCTGTCAGAGGGTTTTTTAAGAAAAGCTAAACAAACAGACAAGCAAACAAAAACAAAAAAATATATCAGTTTTTTTTTTCAAGAGACACACCTAAAGAATAAGGACCTAGAAAAATTAAAAGAACAGAAAAACTATTCTAGGAAAATACTAACCCAACGAAACAATACACCATTATTATTATTAGTGGGGAAAAAAAACTTTACAGGAAATTACTTAGTCATTACTTATTGATAAATCCTTCACTAGACGATAAAACATTTAAGTTTGCACCTAAAACATAGCTTCAAACATATATAAAGGAAAAAATTAACAAACCATTAAGAGCATTTAACAGATGTTGCAGTGGAACCTTAACAGACCTCTTTCAAGGAAGGCCAAGTAGACAAGTACAAAGAGATTCTGACAGTACAACGTGAGCCCGAGTTAACCGACGTGCACCGAACACTCCCCCAGCACAGCTACTGAATTCATGAAAACGTTTACAAAGCTTGATCACACACTAGACCGTAAAAAAGACTCACCATCTTTCAAAAATTGGAATCAGATTGATGACTCTCTCCCCATAGAGCAATTAAATTGAAATCAATAATTAAAAGGTGAATTTAAAAAAAAAAATCTTGTCGTTATTGAAAGTTAAAGAAGACCAGAAGACCACAGTGAATGGAGAGACCCACGATCCTCCTGGAAACGACACCAAAGATCTTCCCAGGTTGAGGTACGTTTGCAGTACAATCGCACACAAAATCCCCGCAGGCTGTTTGGAATTTTACTTGAAGGAGCAAAAGCCAAGAATCCTCAAGCTAGTCATGCAGACGATATCCGATAGGATAGTCTACAACGTAAACAAGAAAGCCCACTCCTTATGTACCAAGAACTTCCACACGAGAGAGAAGAATTTAGCACTTTTAGAAGAAAACAATATCTTTCAGTTCACAGATCAGGGAAGGATTTCCTAAAACAGAAGCACAAACCATAAAGAAAATAGTGATGAGTTCAACTACATTAAAATTTTTAAATTCTGTTTCTCTCAAGGCTCCATAAGGAGAGTGGGGAAAAGATCTTTCCAGCCCATATAACTGGAATAGGATTAGTAACTGAAATACATAAGTTTACGTGAATCAGCGAAAAACAACCCAATAGAAAAATGGGCAAAAGACACAAGCATTTCACAGAAGAGGAAACAGGACTCGCAGACTAAAACACGAGGTGGCCCGTCCCTAGATGCGAGTGCTGGTGTGTGGCACGTCTGTCTGGTGATGACTCGTGGAGCCGTGTGCTTATGCATCCTTCTGACTTGTTGAGTATTTGTCTATGTTTTATGTTCTGACACAGAGTTAAGTGGAAAAGGCAGTTATGGAGAAATGTCTGACGTAACGCCTGCCCGCTGGCTCCGCCCTCCACCCTCCCCTCCTGTCTTCCCTCCCAGTGGTTTGTAGGCACTGGCCAGATTAGAAAGTCTGATTCTCTTGTTTTGTTTTGTTTTATGGCAGAAATATCTCGAAAAGTGGGAAGTCCCCTTAGCACTTAGTGCTGCGCCCTCCTTTACAAATGTAGAAATGGAGGCAAAGTTAAGGCCAGAGCCAAGACAGAGAGAGGCCAGCTGACACCCATCTGCCCACGCACTTGAGGGACGGGTGCTCCTCCAGGCACCACCGTCCGGTCAGTCCTTCCCAAGATGTCACTTTATATTCGCGGGTGCCTGAGGGGGGATCTATTTGCTGGTGTGGCCACTGTTTCATACAAAGCAGCAAATCCATTGCAGTGGGACAGGTCGGGGCCTGAATCACTGAACTTCTGAGTGCCAGACTTTCCAGGTGCAAACAGAGCCCACCTCGCGGGTTATCTGGCTGTGCCTGTAACACGCGTGGCCAGCGGGCTCATCCATTTGACTGAGAGCAGGTGATGGAGAGACCAGAGGAGCACCCGCGGGTGCAGGGGCTGTGCGTGGCCAGGTGGGGACGCCCCGCTGGTTTGCGATGTTCATTCACCCCCCAACTCACATGGGCGGCACTTCAGCCTGCCCATCCCTCAAGTGGCACCGGGCCTCGCAGATGGGGGCACGAGGCCCATGGAGACCAGATGTGCCCATCTCCACAAAGCTGGTCAGTGATCAGACTCCGACCAGTTCTCCCGCCCCCAGAGCCCCGCTCTCCCCTGCCATCTTGAGCCACGCACAGCAGTGCACTCTTGGAGACTCGGGGACAGATAGGAGAGGGCCCTGCCCTCATGGGGACCACGCCAGCCCGGTCGTCGGACACATAAGCATGTGACGGGGGTCACATCGCAGACCAGGAGCAGAGAGCAGCCTGGCCAAGGCCCCTTAAGCCCTTCAGGTGCCACAGGGCCGCCCCTCGGGCTCCCCGCTGGCCCCCGGCCCCCGGGTGAAGTGCTGGAGCCCCTAGGATGCCAGTCCCGCGCCAGGCGGCTCTTGCACCAGTGCGGTGTCTGCACGAAACCCCAGTGACGGTCAGTCCCAGCCCTGGGCTGGGCTCTGGACAGCCAACTGGATGTTTGTTGTCTCCAGAGACGGGGTTTCCTCCTCCATCCTAGGAACTTGTGTTACCTCCTTGTGAGGAGACCTTAGACCTGGTTCCAGCGCTCCGTGTAGGTGGGCTTGGGGCACAGACACCACCCGGTGTCCCCGTGATTCGGGGTGACGGTGTGCTCAGGGGAGGCGGGGTTGCAGGACCCAGTCGGTGCCCCCCACACACACCCTCATGCCCCAACGCCCATGGGTCCTTGCCACCTTTCTTACGGGCCCCTGGAAAGAGGAGCCGTTGCTAGGGTGCCCGAGCTGTGCAGTGGGGTCTCCCACCCTTCAGCGCCTTCCCTGCGGGGTCATCTCGCCCGTGGCATGGCAGGTACGGGTCCCCTCACACCTCTTGTCCCCAACACTTGGGTTGGTATCCCCATAGCGGCGTTTCCCGGGTGTGCTCTTCTCAGGGGGCTTCTGTGCATGTCTGCTCAGGCCACGCTTAGCCCAGTGGTGTCAGTCACAGGGCAGACCTGCCGGGCAGCAGGTGTGCTGTCAGCCCCCAGCCCCACCTCACTGGGGACTCTCAGAGCTGAATCTGACCCCAGGTCACCACGTCCCCTCCCCAGAGCTGCCAGGCACGACAGCTGAATCTGGGATGAGGCTGGTTCTCTCCGAGCAGGCCCACCCCCAGAGTGGGGAGAGGCCTGGGGTGGCGGAGGGCTGCTTTTACGGTGGGCTTACCGTTTCCGGGGAGGGAGGGAGGGAAGAGATAGCCCTGCACTGGCAGATGCTACAGGAACGGCCAGGAGACACCAAGGTTTGGCTGCAGCGACAACCCACCCACATCCCTGCGGCTGCACAGCGGAGGTTCTACCGGAAAGGTGTGCCCGGAGGCCACAGGTTGGGCACGGCTCGGCCCCTGGACCCCAACCTGTGGATGCAGGAGGAGGCCGGACTGGCCGGCCAGTGTTCCACCAGCCCTGTCCCCATGGCCGCACCTGCCGGACACATGACGGGGTGGCGGGCTCTCGGGAGGAGCCCCCGTGGGGCAGCCGTGATCCCCCACGTACTGGGAAGGGGTGTTCGGCATTTGTTAGGAGAGCGCACCTGGCCCCTGGGAGGCCAGCAGCATACCCACTCCTCTGTCGCCCGAGGGCTTGCCCGTGAAGGCCAGGGACGTGGAGATCCCAGCGCTCGTACCTGCCCCCACCCCCGACACGTTCTGCAGAATGGGACCCACGTGGTGACTGGTCAGACCCTCGTCTCACCTGGGGGCGCCCTCCACGCTCCCTGGGTGCCCACATCTGCCAGCCGCAGGGGCTCTGTGGAGGCCCCATGCCGGCCTCTGGGCTCTGGAAGCATTTGGGCTGGGCTTCCTTTGTGAAGGTTGGGAGTTGAGTGCACGTCCTGGAATGTCCTGGCCCTCTCTCCGCTCGGCTGGAGATGTGGGCCAGGCCAGTGGGTGAGCCAGGGCTGAGGACGTGCCCGGAAGTCTCCAAGGCCAGGGGTCGCAGCATTCGGACAGCCCCTACTAGGGGGCCAAGGCTCACCACGTTTACCTTTATCTTCTGTTATTTGTAGTGTTTATTTAAGAAATGAAGCTCAGATAAACTAACTAAAGAAACTGCATTTCAAAGCCCCCACCAATGTCTAGTGGCTGGGGGATGGGGGCCAGGGGGCAGGTGACAAGGGATGGGGCACGGGGGGGTGGGGGGAAGGGGCATCGGCATGGGACCCCCCCATAGGAGCCCTGCACCCTCTTGGCGGCCCTCGCAGCTCCCTCGGTGGAGCCTTCCAGGACTGCTTCCTGTAATCCTGGAGGCCGCAGGGGGCAGGCGGTGGGCCCCGCAGGTGGCCCCTCCAAGTCGCCCCATGGGTAGAGTGAGGGCCTGCGGGGGAGGATGCCGGCCGTGGAGTGGGCCAGGCCCGGGGCCGGGGCCAAGTTTGCAGAAGAAAGCCAACCCACCGATGTGAGTGGGTCCCGCGAGTGACAGCGTGACATTGAGGCACTTGGGGCCCAGCGGGTCCTGCTCTGTGGCTCTAGACCCTCCCCATGGAGCCCGGGGGCCCGCCTGGCCGGGGGCCGAGGTGGGGAAGGACTCAGTGTGCCTGCCAACCGACCACGGCCCTTTGGTTATCCCAGGCCAAGTCCTTGCGTGCTGCTGCGTCTGCCATGTGTCGCATGGCCCCCTTTCTATCTATCTGTGCAGACTTGCGTTACGCGTTTTTAATTTGGTGTGACTTGTACTCGATGACAATAACCTTCTTAGCTCTCGTGTCCCTCCTACCCCAGCAGTTGACCAAGCTCCACCAGCTGGCCATGCAGCAAACCCCCTTTCCTCCCCTCGGACAGACCAACCCCGCTTTCCCCGGTACGTACCCAGCCGCCCTTTCTGACCTCCTCTCTTCTCACCTGGGGCCTTTCTCTTTCCGAGCGGTCTGTGCTCAGGGCAGTGAACGGAACAAGTACAGCTCTGGAGTGAGGGCCAGGGACGCGGCGCTGTGCACGCTGCCGCGGGTGGGCGGGGGTATCTCTGTGCATCTCCGTGACGGGTCAGTCACCCTACAGCTGGCCTTCCTGAAGGAGACACCCCCCCCCCCCCC